AAACACAAGCAAGAGAAGGCTGCCCCCCGCCCCCGTGAGAATCCAGACATGACCCATGCACTGGGTTCCCCAGAAGGGCTCAGGAGAAGGCTCCAGCAACCAGCCAAGAAAGCATCTCTTGCTCTCTGCAAGGGGTGTAATGGGTGGGAGCATTTGTCTGGAATGAACAGTGTACCACGGAGCCCCTGAGGTGATGGGGATTGTGCAAGAGAGCATGAGGGAGGAACAATAAAGCCACCCTCGGTCTACAGGTGGAGCAGTCACTCTACAGGTGGAGGGGACACCAAACAAACCCTGTCCTTTTACTCTTAAAGTTTGTTTTCTGTTTGATATTCGCTCCCTCTGTGCTGTCTTTACAGAACTATTCTGTGGCTGTTTCTTCAGGAAGCTGGCAAGTAACACTGCACTCAGGAAAGCAAGTTTGCTAGTGTAGGGATCTATCTCCTAGGGCCGGCCACCTGAGATGGAAGGACATCTATACCACAGGAATTCTCCATTTCCACTGACATCTGTGACCTAATCTGAAGTCTCTTGTAGCTTCTACAGCAGAGGGGAGGTAGAGGAAGGGAAGGGGGAGAAGGGGTTAGGAAAGTTGTTTCAGAGGAGTTTAAAAGAGGGAGCAAGTTAGGAGGCGATTAGTGAACTCCAGTGTCTCACACTAACTTGCTTCTGGATTCTTAATTAGGAGACACATTGTACACATCTAAAGAATCCTCCTGAACTCATAGGTCAATTTAGCATAAACTTTTAAAGACACGCCCTTTATAGTAAGATCTCTCTAAAAAGAGAATCTTGCTGGTGAACAGAAAACTGAAGGCAAGGGATGACAGATAAAGCCATAATTTCAGTGCATGCTGTATGCTGAGCTTTACATGGCAGTTTCCAGAAAACACCTCCAGAAAAGGACTGTTGGCTCTGATCCCTTGGATCTAAGACAAGAGAACCACAGAATTCTGATCCATAGAGCCAAGGAGACTTTAGGAGCCAAGCAGCCCAAGCCTTGGGTTTACATCTGTATTTCTAAGGCCTGTAATTAAGGAAAAGGAAAACTGACCCTCAAAGAAGTTGAGAGGCTCACCAAAGGTCCCCCAGCTGGTAAGTCCCAGAGCCAAGAGCAGGCCCATGGTTCCCTGTCACCCGGGGCCCTTCTCCTTAGGCCACGTGATCTGCAGACACCCGCAAACCCACCACAGGCTGCCCAGATGTGTGGGGTTTACAACTACTAAGGAATGACAGAGATGAAAGCAGGGTGAAGCTTAGAAGTCACAGGCCGTGGAGCTTAGAAGTCACAGGCCATGCAGCTGTAGGCCCTGCCCAAAGCATCTGGGAATCAGAGACACAGCAGTGCCTGGATACAGCTGCACCTGGACACAGCCACATCTGGAGGAGGAGCGTCTCTTCTCATCACCACCCTGTGGCTTCTCCTTCTCAGAGGCCCCTCAGGTGTCTGGTGGGACCTTGTGCAAAACCATATCCAGAAAGGTGCTAACAGGACTCTGATGCTTGGTGAGCACTGAATTAAACCCCAAAGGGGCTGTGGCTCCCCACAGGCTGATCCTTGGGTGAGTCCCTGGTTTCCTGGAGGAGGCTGAATGGTAAACTCCTCTTCCCCAAAGGGTGTGTCCACAGACATCTCTGGATGGCTAAATTATTTGGAAAAAGGGTCCTTGCAGATGTGATTAAGCTAAGAATCTTGAGATGAGGTCATCCTGGGTCATCGGGGTGGGCCCTAAATCAATGACATGTGTCCTTCTATGAGAAAGGCAAGAGGACTGACAGAAGTGATATAACCACAGCCCACGGAACAGCAGGAGCCACCAGAAGCAGGAGGCAGGGAGGCCCCTCCCCCAGCCCTCTAGAGGCTGCACAGCCCTGCTGACACCTTGACTTCGGATGACTATATTCAGGAATGGAGAGAGGACAAATTTCTGCTGTTTTAAGCCACTGCCATTACATAGCAGATATGCTTATAATCTCTATGGGTGGAAAAAGACACAACAAAGGTTCACAGATTTACAACAAATCCACAGTCAGAATGGCTCACCAACAACAGGCCAGAGAACAAGAGCAGTGTGGAGACCAGCTCTGTTTATGCCTGGTGACCAAACCCAGCTGACTCACCAATAGTCACAAATCTTGTGTTGACCTCGCAGGACATGGTTCTAAATCACACACCCAGCTAAGGGGGATGGCACTTGGGTGGACCCAGAATCTGAGGCTGAGTGCATGCAAACTACTCCCGGATGGTCCAACTTTGATAGCATTGCGTGGAAAGTTGCCAAGCCTTGAGCCCCACAAGTGGCCTTCCCTGAAACCTGAAGCCAATTTGGGAAAAGGCCTCTGTGGCCCCAGTGAACACTGAAATACAGAGTTCTGCGTACAGAGTAAGCAGATGTTTCTTCAATATGGCATGTTCTTGGATCCAGCTTTATTTTAGATATTTTTTCCTGCAACTGTTGAACTAAATCTGAAGATGATCAGCACACAGACACACATGCATCCAGCCCTTCTGCATCCCAATTCTTTTGGGGGAACACGTTTCCATGTGTGGACTAATGAGACAGCTGTTTTGATCTGTACCTTCTGCAAACACCGCAATCTCAATTCAGGTGCTGTGCTCAGTATCTTCCTGGCTCTCTTCCTACAGCTGAACATCTGGGAAACGGCTCTAGTATTTTGTTATTGTTCTAAAATGAAATTTCCTGCTCCCAACTCAACAGGTTTATTTCAGTCCTATGCAGACCACACTTGGGAAGTCCAAGGGAAATTCTGTTGGGCCTCAGTCTGGCACCCCTTGATGGGCTCTCTGGGGCTTTTGGGGAGTGAAAGATAGATTTGGGTGACAGGCAAGGGAGCACTAATCAGCACACTTTGAGCACTGTGACATCAGCACTCAGACTTCAAAATGGCCTTCACTGGGTCACATCCCCTTCTCCAATAGCTTCCCTGGGGATGTGCTTCTCCCTGAGCCAGAACCCAGCCTTGAAGTATCATTGGACTGCCAATTAAGCTTCACCGCAGAGGCCACAAGGACTCCTGCCACCTCACTGTGTGTGTGTGTGTGTGTGTGTGTGTGTAGGCCAAGCTAACACGGGGACTCCAGCTGGTGTCACACCTCAATGTGTGAATCAGCGGGGCTTAGTCACCATACTAAGGGGGCAGGACTGGTCTCCAAACTCCTCCTCCCCACAAGATGTGCAGCAGGCTCCTCATCCACCCTCATCCCTTCTCAGCTTCTTAAACAAACTTCAAGTGAGAAATCACATGGCCTACAACGAACACTGTGTGGCACTTTAATACATTCTCTATGCCCTTCTCTCCTCTGGTTCCCAAGTATTTTTTATCCCCCCGAAGGAAACCCTGAATCCATTAACCATTCTCCATTTCACCTTCTCCCTAGCCACTTGCAGCCATCCAGCTGTTTTGTTTCTATGGGTTTATCTATATAAACAATCATATAATTTGTGGCCTCTGTGGCTGGCTTGAAGTCTGAGCAGTCCGACCACAACACTGGAAGCGTAATGGTTGCTGCTCTCCAACCTGTCACCTGGCCTTTTCCACCTAGCATGTTTTCAAGGTTGGCCCACATTGTGACAAGCATCTCTGCAAATATTCCACTGTGTGGAATTTTATTTCTCCATGCATCCATTGCTGGGCACTGGAGTGGCTCCCTACTTTCACTGTTGGGAACAGTGCTTCTGGGAACACGTGGACCTGCATGTTGGAGCACTCCCATCCGTCCCTGTACAGTAGCCTGATCTAATCCCATGACACTCCTACTACCTTGACAGGATGGCTGCCCACCCCTCTTAGGACAAAGCCCAGCCCATGGGATGTGGCCTGAAGGCCTCTCCCCACTTTTCCAGCATCACCTCTCACACCATCTTCCCGCCGGGCCACTTTCTGTTCTTGCATGTGCTAAATGTGTCTTTGTCACCAAGCCTCTGCAGTTGCTCCTCCCCCTTCCAGAATCTTCTTTTTCTGGCTAAGTGGCAGCAGCATCTGGCCACAGTCACTTCCTTATCCGCCACATACAATTACACACACTAGATGCCAGCACTGGGGCACCACTGGCCCCTATGTTTCATGGGAAGAGCCCACAGCAGGATTTAGGAGGCTACACGGCCCTCTGTTGTGAAATCCCACAGGAGAGAATGGCCAGACACAACTTAGGGACCCCCTGGATATAAGTATCCTGTGTCCTTGAAACACTCTCCTCGGAAGTCTGGATGTGGCCAGGTGGATTTATGTCCTGGTGCCTGAGGAATGATGTTACAGCCCCATGAGAGTCCTACTCTGCACACATTCTCCACCCCAGAGTGTGGCAGGCGTCTTTGCTTTTCCTCCAGACTTGGTTGACACCCCACAGGCCTGTGAGAAGTGGGGCAATGACTCCTCCGAACTCTGGCCCCAGAGCCTGGTGAGAGGAGCCAGAGACAGGTGGCGCTGGGGGCTGCTGAGATGGCAAGGACTCTCTGACTGACCGCAGTCACACCTGAAGGGTACGGACTCGACTTAGACCCAGATACAGGGTGCTCTGCGTCACACAGGATGTGGTTTCAGAGGGTGGGGATATAAATGCCTCTGCCTTTCACCCCCTCTTCCTTTCTCAGCTCCGGTTCTGAGCTTCTGTTCCCCGGGTCTGTAACTTCGACACACGTACACTTACACACACACATGTACACGCATATGGACATATGCACACATACACGCCTCTAACGCCCGCGTCTAACTTCTAAACGTAAAAATAGTCCTCCTAATTCCCAACATAGCCTTTGTCACTGTTTTTCCTTTAAATTCTCCATCATTCCAATTTCCACACAAGCATTTGATAGCAACTGCCTCTGAAGAGAGTACAGCACACAAGTCCCTGTGACCATCCGCAAATTCTTTTCTTCTTCCATAGGTGACTCAGATGGACAAAGAGACCCCCTTTTGTGCATTCCTGGGGGCCTCTGAGGAAAATGACCGTGGCTTGTGGAACTCCCTCACTCACTCACCTCCAGCACCTTCCCTGTGATAAACTGGTGACAGGCTTCACACTTCACCCCGAAGAGCCGCTGGTAGTCCTTCTCACAGTATGGGGCGCCGTCCCTGCAAGACAAGAGTCAGCTCCTGAGAAGAGGCAGCTGAGGATGGGGGAGACCCAAAACCCTATGACTCTGAGCTCTTTTCCTCGGAGAGTAGAACTTGCTTCTCTTTTCCTGAGCATTCAAATACCCGGTGACATGTCCAGATACAATCAAAACCACAGACCACGGGCACAGCCAGAGCGAGCAGGGTCTTCCAGGCCACACAGAACAGCCAAGGCGCCCCATAGTCACCGATGCTGGCTCCTTGGTGGTCTCAGGACGTACGACCAGAAAACCCAGCATGAGTTCCTTTCTCGGGGGGCCAGCTGGGCTCAGACGTGAGCTCAGTGTTCATCTGCCTCAGCCGGCCAGCCAGGCCTTCTCTCCCATACCCTCTTGTTGGACGTGGCTCACAGGCCTGAGGGGCCTCCCAGCAGCCTCCACACACCGTCTCTTCAGCCCTCCTTAGCTCTGAGGACCCAGCACCCTCTCCAGCTGGCGACCTCCATTTACTTCAGCGCACAACCCAAAATGCCATTTCCCACCTGTGATAATGTGGAAAAGTTTTAATAAGCAGCACTTTCGACAGCCAAGATGGCTGCTACTGCCCAGCTTTTGATGTGAGCTTAAAGGCCGCACACTTTTCTCGTCTCTCTTTGGTAGCCTTCCCAGTCACCTGTGGAGCTATTTAGTTTTTCTTCTAACACAGGTGTTTCAGTTTGATGCCTGAACTACCATGAGATTAGATTTCTAGGCTATGGAACTCGAGCCACTTTTGGTTTTTTTCCTCTATATATTTACATCAAATTCATTAATTTTTAAAAAGAGGTGATTCTGTGCGCTTGGGGAAATTTTTTCAAAGCATAAAAAGATGTAGAACAGGATATTCTCCTTCATGGCCAGGGTGCTTAACTCTAGCTATCATTCCGAGCACTCCATAACTCACTCACGAACCTCTCCCTGGCAGGCTCTTAAAAGGTTAAGCGCCCAGGCCTTGGATATTTGGAGCAGGGGGTCCTGCAAATATGCTGCTCCTGGGGAGGAGAAAGGTTTACTAGTCTCCCATAGGGGAGAAACTAGCAAAAGGGAAATTATTAAATGCTTCATTGGTTACAGCAAAGGGTGTACTATTATGTGAGCTTTATTAATTTTTAAATTAGGCAATGATTAATATTTTATTAGGGGTATAGTAGCCAGATTATAGCAAAAGTAGGATAAAAATTCTTTTAAAAAGTTTTATAGCAAAAAGTACTTGGGGATGGGAACGTCCGTTAGCAGGCGTGGGGGTGGGCACCTAGGACGTCCATCCCCACCGAAAGGACCCCTGCCCTGGCCCGTCTTACTTGCTGATGTACTCGCCCGTGAGGACCTTGCCGCAGGACTTGCATTTGAAGCAACCCAAGTGCCACTGCTTGTCCAGTGCCAGCAGCGCCTGCCCATTCTTGATGTCTCTTCCGCAGCCAGCACAGTCTGGAAGAGAGCGGCAGGCAGCAGTTATACCAGGTTCCCTCCGCTAACTCCAGCCCTGCAGTGCAGCCCTCCCTCACACCCATCACCTGGTACTTAAGCACCCTTTCACCGCATTTTCTTTTTTGCACAGAATCTTTCCCAGCAAATCTCCCAGCACCTGTCCTCAACAGTACGGCACCTGCTCGAACCCCCAGTGATCCACCAGGAAAGACGTCCTTCACCTGGTAGTTGGTGCAGGTTAAGCACCCTCAGGGCTCAGCTGCCTTGGCTGTGGTTCTAAGGAAGTGCTCATAGGCCTTTATTAATTGAGGACACGTGGGAATAGCTGAGCATGGCCCGCTCAACACAACGTATGCAGTTCCTGGACTGCTGCCTGCAAATCTCATTGCTCTAAACGGGTCACTACTTGCTTATCAACCTAAAGCAGACTCTCAAACATTTCTAGTCATCAGTTAAATAGCTCTTCGTTCCTTAGCTTTAAATTGTCCTTGGCAGGTTCCCATAAAGCAGAGAGAGGAGAGAGTATTTCTTCCTGGTGAAGAGCGTGGCCCCTGGAATGAGCCTGGTCCCACCCCTGGCTCCATCCCTCGCCTTTCACTGTGTGACTCAGGCAAGTCACTCGCCCTCTCTAAGCCTTGGCTTCCTCATAGGGAGCTAGAGAGGTTACTGAGACCCATCTCGAGCCTCTGATGAGGGTTCAATAAAATAATGGATGTGGTGCAGCACGTGGCCCTATCAATATTTGCTGTTATAGTGCCCTTATTTTTCTGATTATTGTATAGGGGAAGCTGAGTATTGTTTTAAATCCAGAAGAATGTATATGGGTGCGAGTTATTTGGAAACCAAATGCATCGTCTAAAAACATTCAAAATCTATGAATCTAGGAAAGCAAAAGCGGTTGAAGGGAGTGGGGAATGGGATAAAAAGAAGCAAGATATATAGTGTACAGGTACAAATTCCCTATGATGAACGCTATTGTGTTTATCTGAAATGTACCAATAAATGTTTTGCTTTAAAAAACCCCCCAAAACAAAAGCAAACCCTCCTGGCAGGTTGATCATAATGTCAACTACATACACAACGCTCACGGAGAAAAGGAATGAGCATGCCAGGCCATTGAGTGGCTGTGAGAACACAAAGTAACTAAACATCTCCCTCTTCTGACCACATCCATGACTGCTCCTCCTTCACCCAAGACATTCTGAGCCCAACTTTCATTCACAGAAACCGAAGAGGCCTCGGCATCCACGGTTCCTGCTTCTTACCACCACTCAGTTCATCTCTGCTCCTGTTCCCCCGAGCCTCCCGGAAGGTGTCCAGACAGGCAGAATCCTGAAACTCTTCCCCACACCCCATCCACAGCCAGCTCACAGTTTTCTGGTTTTTCTCCTGGTGGCAGCTAGTTAAGTAAGCCTGCCTTTTTCTTTTGACTATAAGTGTGTTTCTGATGATCTTGGTCAGTGGGTGTGAACATTACCTTTTAGACCTAGAAATTTCGTGTGTGTGTGTGTGTGTGTGTGTGTGTGTGTGTGTGTTTGCTCCTTGCAGCATTTCTGGGGGTTTTTTTTGGTACTGGGGATCGAATTTGGGACCTTGCACTTGTGAGGCAGGCAGTGACACCACTGAGCTAAATCCCCAGCCTCTTGCAGCATTTCTGCAACAATAGGAGCTGCAAATAACCATATGGATATCAATGACAACTAGCTAAATCAATTACAGTGTGGTCAATGTTGAGATACTATGTGCTGTTAAAAAGAATGAGGTGGGTTTGTGTGCAGACATGGAAAGATATCCAAAATAGATCAAGTGTGAAAAGCAAGCTGTAGAACAGGATTTGGGGCATAAGCTCATTCATAGAAAATAGTAAAGTGTATGTGTGTTTTCTATGCCTAGAATAGGAACATAAGAAATTCTTAAGAAACTTCCCTCTGTGGAGGAGGCCTTCATTTTTCAGTTCACATATTTTGTGTTGTTTGAATTTTTTTAACCGTGAGCATGTAAAATAAGTACTGAGTAACTATGTATGTATAAAGTTAAAAATCTAAGTTCTTAATGTCACAGATTAGAATTTCTTTTTTTTTCTTTTTTTGGTACCGGGGATCAAACTCGGGTCCTTGCGCTTTCAAGGCAGGTGACAGAACCACTGAGCTAAATGCCCAGCCCTGATTAGAATTTCTTGAAGTATAGCCCATTACAAACTAAGTATATATTAGACGGTCACAAAGTACTAAGCATTTTTAAAAAGACTAAGGTGTGTGTGTGTAGCCTGATATTTCGCCAAAAATATAAAGGAATCTCACATCTAGCATTTTACTACGAAGATCAAAATGGAAGGCCATATTTATTTAAAATATATTTCGAAGATAGGAGGACAGTATAGACTTAAGATATGTTGTTTCAATTTGGCATATTTTTTCAAGTGTTCTATGTATCTTTACAGTTGTTACTGTGGAATCACCTTCTCTCCTAATAGCTTTGTTAGGCACAACTATTGACCTCATAGGAGCTGATGTCAGTGAGCTTTTTGGTCAACGTAACGTGGTCTTTGGTGAGCCTGTAGTTCTTCTTTGTATTCATAAAGATTTTTTTTAAACTCCCAAAGAAAATCTGAACTCTTCTTGATCTAAAAACTCATCTTTGGGGTAGAGTTAAGTGTGTACAGGTTGTCACAGTTCATGAGGTCAGAAGGAGCTAGGCTGCACCTCGACTCTGCCCCTCCACAGCTGACGGGGGCGGGGGGGCTGGGTTAAGATACAGGCTACTGTATTTCAGCCAGTGGTTGTTGGGGAGAGGTGCCTGAAGAAAGCAAAGCCGCTTCCTTCTTTTTTGAAACAAAATAAACTTTAAAAATGTAATTTTTGGTTTATTAAAAATTGGAGAAAATTCCAATGTCCGTAACCACAAAGGACCAGTTCCACTGAGAAGTGAACACTTGAAACTCAAAATTTAGAAGACATTTAGGGACAGAGAAAATTGACTTTCTGCTACCGGCAAATGTTCCAGTGGGGATCCATTTTTGTTGGAATGTGTTATGGTATACGCACATGTATACGACCCAGAGTCTACTGAGTTTTATAAGGTTCCGAAAAGACGGGTGGAAAAAATCTGGATTTTTGTTCATTTATCTCAGTCAAAGCCCACTGGAACTCAAAAACCAAACAAAACGAATAGAATAGTCTTAGAGCAGGTTTAGGCTCCCAGCAAAACTGAGCAGAAGGTGCAAAGTTTCCATGAGCCCATCCTCTGTCCCCCCCACCACAGCGGCAGATTTTAAATAACTGATGAAAGAACCTGACGTAACATCATCACCCGGAGGCCACATTCTACACTGGGGTTCAGGCTTGGTCCAGACAAGCTGGACACCATGACGGACGAGTTTATAATGACATCTATGCCGTGCTATCATACAGCGCAAGTTTCACCACCTTAATCAACTTGGGCACCTGTCTATGCACCCCCTCTCCCGAACCCCTGGGACCACTAACCTTTTTCTTTTTTTAATCTTCATAGCTGTGCTGCTTCCATGATTGTTATTATTATTATTATTATTTTGTTTTGGTACCGGGGATCAAACTCCTTGCGCTGGCGAGCCAGGTGGCGGAACCACTGAGCTAAATCCCCGGCCCTGCCTGATTAAATAGTTTTTGACCCAAGTTAGAGTGAAATTTTTCTTCCTTTCTCATTAGATAACTCCCACTAGGTGGCAGCAAATACTTAAATATTAAGGAAGCTACCGTGCACCAGAACCTTTCAAAGCAGAAAATAAACTTGAGAGATGGCTTTGCAGTTCTGCAAATGAAGACCGTTGAATGAAGAGAGCCTGACAGAGTTGTCTGAGGTCTCTCCTTGCATGAGCAATGAGGCCAGGGACACGGGTGGCTGCGGTGAGAGGGTTAGGGCACAAGGGCTTTTGGGTCGTGAAGACTTGGGCAAGTCACCCTCTCTCTGAACTTTCCTTCGTCATCTGTGAAACCCTAACAACAGCTGCTTGTTAAGTCGCTCTAAGAGAGAAAAGAGATCCTTCCCTGCAAGGTGCTGTCCTTTCCATAATGCAAGGCTGGGTACAGCTGAGTCCTTGAGTAAGTGTCCCCCTTCCTTGCCTAGGAGCAGAGCTAGGACTCCAACCCAGGTTTCCTGACTCTGACCTTTGCCCTCTTACAAGCACCTCCCAGAGGTACGAAGGAACCACAGACACAATTTGCAAACAATGGCCCCCAGGATCATTCTGCACTGAGGACTTTTTAGGAATCGGCAGGGCTCCGTACACATGGTGCCCGTGAGTCTTCAGAATCACACCATCAAAGTGCCCAACAGTCTGAAGAGCCCTTCGAACCACAGGTAGTGTCTGTAACACTCAGATCCTGTGTCCTCCCCAGTGCTTCACGGAGGGAAGGTATTTTCATAGCATTTTCTAGGGAAGTGATCATCCAAGCTGACCGCTTAGGGCCAGCTGGCTGGAAGCAGAGGCTGGGGTTAAGCTTCCTTTGTCCTAATCCTTCAGGCACAAAAGAACAAAAGCTGACCTCAGGTGTTCTGGTATATTGCATGCAACCGCCCATTCCTCTCTGGAAAAAGTCTGGACCTTCCCCTGAGCCTGCTGCCTTGCTGGGGAGAATGTGAAAGAAGCCAAGACCAGAGATTTGTGCTGAGATGTTCATTTCTCCATGCTCACTCCAACTAAGCTCTTTTAGACAGAACAAAATGTCCTACTCTCCATCTTCATGTTTTTCAGCTGTTGAGAAAATTGTTTCCACATCACTGAAGCAGCTGCTGATAAATATAGAAAGCTGGTGATTGGCACTGGAATTATCATCAAAGTCAGAAATAGGTGAATATGGAGAAGAATCAAGGAAATAAAACACACTAGCAACTTTCCAGTGTTCTACCAAGGAGAAATAATGACCTAATGTGAAAACCAAAAAAATCCAACACTTTGTCCCAAGCCCTTTACTCTTGGTACCAAGAGCCAGAGCAAAGAAGGAATTTGGCTACTCATATCC